ATCAACTTAAATTAAGACAAAATAATGGACAAGCAAATTAACTACATAAAGTATTTTGAAAGTGAGTATTTCGTGTAGAATTATTTCCGACTGTCGTAGAAAAGCTACGCATATAGACCCTTTTAATAAATTGAAAAATTACATTCAATAATTGGAATTAAAGCCATAATTTAGCAAACCCTGCATAACCGTTAGCTCAGAAAATTCGGATATGTTACAAATACTGGTGATTAATCTGTATGATATGGATGTTCCCTAGTAGAAAAAATTGACACAAACTTAAAATATCTGGCATAAAAATCAAACCAAATAAAAGGTGGGCCTATCGAAAGGAGAAGCTAGAGGTAGTATAGATTAGGCCAGAAGATGATAAATCTATCTTAGATAAAACACTAACAAAGCCTTGAATAAGGGTCTGAGTTTTGCTTTATCAAGTAGCAAAAATTAGACCATTTATATTATTGCTGCCATTGGTATCGCAATTTTCAGCAACATGTCAGAGAGTCTGGGGGAATTTCGTAAGTTAATGAATACAACAGATAGGCTCAATATATGGGTTAGCTTTTTTGGAAAATCTAGTTGATGAAAAAGCAACTAAGTTAGCAAACATAAATAATTTCGAAGATATGAAGACCAAGATGGTGTGGTCCGACTTCTATAAATAATTTTGTTGCAGGTTTTGAGGGATTGTAAATTACATTCTACCACAATGCTATGACAAGGTCTCAGGATTCAAATGGATTTGGCTACCGGTCCTTAGCCATATTAAACGAAATATGGTGGATACATCTCACGTATGATCTATTGGCAGTCTCAAAGAAATACTTATAAAGCAAAAATAAATAATCAAGATCAGAAAGGGAAAGGTTGAGAAAAATTCCAGTAATTATTAGCCTTGTCAATGCTTTTCTTTCTCTTGGTTCTGATTAGGTGAAAGGAAAAAAAATGTATATTTTGGATGAAAAAGTCAAATAAACGACGAGGAACAGCTAAATTCAACGGCTAAATCGTGTAAAAGTCATTTAAAGGAATCCCAATTTGGCTCACAATAAAAAGCGCAGAATAAACGATCGTTAAGAGCATAAAAAGCTTCAATAATCTTCTATTTGGCCTTAAATAAACAGAGAACTTTTATCTGTCAAAAAACCTTATTAACCTATACTCTAAAAAGCTAGATAGTGCTCGGAACGGTACAATTTGGAACCTGTGACAAAAGCTAAAAAAGAAATCCCTTAAGCATCAACAAGGTTTAGAGCTGTAGAGTTTACACTAAAAGACACCCAAAAAGTTCTGAGGCAGAATGGTTTTAACTTAAATATCAAGCTTTTGTAAATTTTTGATTAAAACAACTAATCAAAATGTGACAAACCTACCTCCCTATAAATATATTGTAAAGTTCGTTGCAGATTCGAGTTAGAAAAAACAAACTGGTCCGGGAAACTCATACCTGTCTTTAAAGCAAACGGTGCTAGAGTCGTTAGGACTAGGAAACGACCCACAGGTCCACGATTGAAAGCTGATCGAGGGGGCTAATGAAGCCTACGCGAGGTTAAAACTACACTTCACTCTGTATGAAAACCACTTGGCGAAATTGAAGGTAGGCAAACTAGCGACAAAGCCAGGCCTTTAATTGATCTCTGCCTGCTCTAGTGTGAATCATACCCAAACTGAGATACTACCTATTAAGTGGCTCAAGTTGGCAGAAAAAAGGAAGCTCTTTATTAAAGATCATACAGTAAATCACTAATGAATGTCAAAAGATAAAAGACGCCAAGCAAGGAGGCTAGAAGCTCACAGTATATAACTTTGACATGGTAAATGATGTCGACAATTGTTTCTATCAGCCATTTTTTCTTCTACCCACGCAATTATACGCCCTAGCAAAGAGCATAAATCCTGTGAAGCCAGAACTGGGTAAAAATTAAATAGGAGCAGAGCATGCTGAATTCAGCTTTTGTCAGGCTGGTTGATCTCGAAGTAAGAAAGTCAAGTAGTAGAAACTAGCCTACAGTTGCACTTAGAAGAGAACGATCACTGGAGATTATCCAATGGCTTTAACGCAAAAAGGGTTATTCTGATTTCCCATGCGGGAAAACTCATACCGTTTGCAGTGAGGTGAAGGCAAGGTAGGCAATGAGAAGTGTGAAAAAACGTCATTTAGAGGAGCACGCCTGGCCAGAAAGTCAGTATGGAGCGAAGAGAGGAGTAAAAGCGCAACAGAAGACTTAGTTTACGTGTTCCAGGGCATACTTAAAAGTGGTGGCTGCATGGGAAGACACCAAAAAGCCAGAGCATATTAAAGAGCATAGGATAGAGACAGACCACAGGACTCAAAGTGAGCGAGCCTTATAAGTAGTTAGCAGGCCGTGATGTTCTCATCATTTGACAATGAAGACTGCAGAAATCAGCCTATAGAAGGCAAAACATTGCGTTAGAAAATCGCTTTTTCCCGACCAAACTCTATTCATAGAATTAGGATACAGTGTGATAACATGGTTTTTTTCGTTCTCCACTTTTCAGTCAGTCAAATATCACTCCCTTAATTGTATGCAAAGTTGCTAAAATTATAACAAATAAAATGAATATATTAAGTTAGGTGCTAAACTGCATTTTAAATCTGTCCTGACACTTTAATTCCACGAATTTGGTGAAGAAATATCAGATTTCATATACCCAACGCATTTTGTAAATACCTTTCTTTTATAGAGAGCAATCAGAAACTATCCGAAAGGGAATTTTGGAGAGTTTAACTCCGATTTAGCTTTGTGAGACTGAATATCAACTAACAAACAATTATATGTGATATTCCAAAAAAAGAGTAGTTTTTAGGCTTGGATATCACACGAAGTATAAAGCAAAATACAAATCAATTTGGAGAACGCAAAGTTACATTGACCATTAAAAAGATATCCTTTTTAATTTCTAACTCTAAAACAAAGTGGTACATTGTTAATCGATGAAACTTACAAAAAAACAATATTTTTCAGTTATTTTCCCAATATTTGTGGGCATTATACGAAGCCCTAAAATAAAATCATCAAAATTATCCGGAGCGAATCTTTAACATCAAGCAATCCAATGCCGTATTACTAAAATGAACAAATAAAAATTAGGAATCTTAAATTCAGCCCCAAGTGCATTTCCCAGAATTACGCCAAATGGAAATGAGAACCCAAAAAATGTTAGTGATTTGAAGTCATTCTCGCGACTTGATCATGTTATCAGGGGACCAAACTGAGCATACCCTGTCCGAAGTCCTCTTCTACGGTACTTATGATAATTCCCAGATATACCATGGAATGTGAGGTGGCTTTATGGCGTAGTGGGAACGGAACAAAAACTATATACGCACAAGGCAAGTTCGATTTCTTTTGAGGGTGCCGATGAGACTCAAAGTCAAAAAAGCTGTTCACCCTGGCTCTAGCAACCTTTCTCAGGAGGCAAGTGAAATTCAATAAGGTCGGGTGAATATTCCAAAGCATCTTTTTTATTCTTAAACTATCCATAAGTTGCATTTATACCATCTTGGTGGGTAGTCTTTATGAACAGACTCTAGGAATTGTAGTGGGAACTTGCCTAACTCCTAAACCTACAAGCATATAGATGAAAATGAAAATGAGTCACCCAAATATTTGTGTACTTATCAAAATTAATTTGTGTTTTAGTACTAGAGTGTTACCTTGGATTTGCTATTAGGATGAGGTCCAGATTAGCAATATTATGCCTGGATATCCACCGAAAACCAGGTACTACTGCTACATGAAGAATACTAATAAGTTTGTATAAAGATGAGTGGAATTTTGAGGAATCTATTTAAATGCACAATTCCCATGTCCCCATTTCCTGCAGTGGCCTCAAACAGCCCAGAATAATGCAGAACTGTTACCTGGGTAGAGAATTCCTCAAGCAGTCTATCCAACCAATGGCCTGCCACATGCAGTGGTCGGGATTCATTTGAGATGTCCGCCAGCTTCATTAGGATCACCATCACAGCCAGACGGAGCTCGGTGTCTGCAGCCAGCAGTCTGCCCAAATGGGCCTTATGTACGGGTCGGAGGTCGCCGGCATTGTCGAGTCGGGAGGCACAACTGCCGCCGGTACTGGCGCCTTTGAGCCCAGCAGCACAATTGGTGTCGGTAGATTGCCAGGCAGTCAAGTGTCCCTTTGAGCGCAGGAAAACATTGGATGTCGGGTTCAGGATATTTGGACCTGCCTCTGGACGCTCATTTGTGCTGGAGTCGCCGGCCTCCGAGACGGCTGCGTGGAGAGAGCAGGAGCAGGCGTAAACGATCTCAGTGGAGGCGACGATGCTGCGTTGATCGGTATCAGAGCCGTGCGGCTGAGAAGTTGGCGTCAATTTGTCCGAGCCGGGAATGACGACCACAGGGCAACCAGTTAGCAGTGGAAGGTGCTGCTGGAAGGCAGCCACGATATCAGAGTGTTTCGACATATCGGTGCCAAGGATGCAGCTTTGAAGGAGAAAAAGCGAGTGAAATTGCGTGTTATGAAGCGAGTGCCAGACAGAAAATGAATTGTGTTAACTCTATTTGGATTAAGGTGATGAAGGACTGATGGTTGAATTATCCCAAAATCCTATGAGTAGAGCTGACGTTTCCATTCAATTTCACATAGCTTTGTTAAGGGGACTTTCAGTCCATATGAAAGTGAATGAAGAAGAGATTCGTTGGTCGATCTCACCAGAAGAGGACGGATGAATCTCGTTGTACTGCAGCCATTTGGCTTAAATACGATGTTCATGTTGACGCACTCCACAAGACTTCCTCCCTCGTTTGGGTGAAAACGTGCTGACCT